TGAATTTCATTATATCGCTAAAAGAAGAAGTAAAGAACTTATTTAGCCAAAAAAAAAGAAAAAAGTAAAGATCAAGATATTTGTCGCGACGTTAGTAAAGTAAAAAATGAGTCTTTTATTTTGCTGTGAGATCACACCTCATAAAAGAAAATTAAATCATGCCACATGTATATAGAAGATATTTTATGTACTTCTAAAGGATTGGATACTAAATTTGTGTAGCCACGATAAGAATTCGATGTTGAAATATTTAGTCGTAAAGGCCTATATATAAAGTTTTTTTAAACTAATGGTCACTCTTAATCTCTTAATCAAATTTCACAACAAATGAGTCATTCTCCAAATAAAAGTGCACGTAAGTTTTGTTCTACAATTGTAATCTTATTATTATTATTTTTTTTCGACAAATCAAATTCAATATATCATGAAAAATTTACAAAATCCAGAAACATTTTGAGACAACCGTTAACACAAATAATGAAACTAAAAAATAATTTCGATGAAAAAGTGGAAAATAACCAAACTTTCCTTTCGGAAGTCTTATAGGCTAACATATAAAATCTGTTATGTCTCCTTTTCATACATTTGTTGCTGGCTATCATCTTGCTGATGAAACTCCAAAATGCACATCGCATTACTTTGATTTGAAAAATTAGTTGAATTGTTGTTGAAAATGCTTCTAGATTCTGTCTTTTGTGGTTCGCTAAAACAAACCCTATCACGAATTGCCGATTGTCGATTATGAGTTTCTCTTTCGTCGATTCTTCAAAAACATTCATCCCCAAAAAATTCGTCTAAATTAGTGACTAATATCTTATACCCAAACGTCTTCCACTGCTTCACCGAGAATTTCCAATGCATATCCAAAAACCAGTTGATGCCATGGTGATGATGTCGCCGGAAGAAAAACCGACTAATGCCATGGTGATGGTGTTGCCGGAAGGAAAACAGGCAGATGCCATGGTGGTGGTGTCGCCGGACAGAAACTCTAAAAAAAAAGAGACAATAATCGCTTCGGAGATTGGAACCCAGCGAAAACAATGGAGGAAATGGTATATTTAGAATAAGGACTGTAAATCGACGAAGAACTTTGAAGGGTAGAAGATTTGCTCCCCTTTAACGACGAAGATCCGATCGAAATCGAAACAAAAAGTCGATCTTAAACACCCTTATAACATATATAAGCGAAAAGTAATATACAGATATAATAGATAGCGGCACGGTGCCGGCGTGATGCCGATCTCCGGCCATAACGACGGTGACTTGTTGAAGAAGGTAAGATTGGAGTGTGAATTGTCAAGAGACGATGGGGAGAGAAAACGGTTAAAAAAATATTTAGCGACTCTTGTAATCTTATTATATAAAGGAGAATGTGCACGATAAGATGCGACACATAAGCAAAACTTACAATTAATAAAGAAAAGTATTAAAAACGGAAAACGAACAAAACAATTGTCAAGCAACTAACCAAAATAGAAAACGAATAAAATAATTGTCAAACAACTAACCAAATAGTAAAAGAAGAATTTTCTACTAATATCAAATAACTACGAGAATTTTTTTTTATAATAGTTTAAGGAAATTATAAAGATAAAATTAGGAAAGAACATAGAAAAACTATAAACAATAAAGAAAAAGAAGAGAGAAAATAGAAATTTTAATCAAGAAAAAATAAAATAATTTTTAGAAATTGAAAAACAGAAAATTAGAAAGAATATGGAAATCTCAATGTTAAATTTTATATGCACAAACATACCAAAGAAAGAAAAAAATATACACATATTTATTTTGTAAACATAATTATAGAATATTACCAAAAAAATTAAAATTTTCTATCTATACTTTTCAATGTTA